TCGTGCGCGGCCACCGCCTGCCTGCCAGTGGGGGCTTGTGTGATGTTAGACGCCGAACAGGTGTCAGCAGAGTTCTAGCTAAGACAGACTGGGAAGAAAGGCCTGACGGTCTAGTTCCGAAAAATCAGCCAGCGTAAACCTTATGGTCACAGTGGTCCGATCCTGTTTTCTGTGGGGTCATCATGAGGCGGGCACTGACTTGACGGCAGCTAATAACATGCCTTCAGTCGCTTCCTGTTGCTACGGTACTGTTGCTATGGAGTATGAGGACAGTCTTCCCACCCAGTCTAGACATGCTTTCTTTGTACCCTCTCCAAAGAATAGACCTAGTTTTCTGTCAGGGAAGAAGAGATCTCATGGGTCTAACTGCTTTTTAAACTGTCAAGCCTCCAGTCATACCTGGTGCTTCGAATTCCTGAGCCTTTGGGAATTCTGCCATATTTATCTGGTTTGTTCTTTTGCCCTTCTATACTGCTGGTTTAGAATTCAGTTTTTTCAGGTCTCCTAAGTCATTGCTGTTCATCCGTCTGTTGTTCAACTTAAACAAATTGGGCTTTTGTCCCTTCTGTTCTCCCTGTCTTTAAGGTTTTACGTCATTTTATAATACCTGCTGCTCACTTACTGACCATCTCGTCTGACACTTTACATTTACAATAGTGAAAAATCTATGCGACTGTTGGCACATTAATGAGGCAGGCAGGGCAGCAACTGCTGCAGAAGCCCCACGTCCTCCCCTCCTTCCTCTCCCCTCCTTCCTCCCCCCTCCCCCCCACCATGTCCAGCTGCTTGGCAGCCGGCAGCCTCCTCCGTGGCCATGGCCTCCGGGCAGACGCACGCAGCCCTGAGGTGAGGGCGCCTGTTGTGGGTTCCCAGCTCCTCTGTGGCCTGAAGCCCTATAGCTGTCAATTGCTATGCGGTGGGAAGGGAGGAAAGAAAGGCATTAGAGAGGGTGTTTGGAAGAAATGCGACGAGTTTAATGACATCTCAGAGTGACCCGAACTGGACCTGAAACCTCCACCTTGGTGGGGCTGGGTGCATAACCAGGCTCCCAGGGCCCTCACAGGAAGCCCTGGAGCCTGTGTGACTCTCCAGGCCTGGAGGGCAGAGCAGGCTCCCAGGGCCCTCAGGAAGCCCCGAGCCTGTGTGACTCTCCAGGCCTGGAAGGCAGAGCAGGCTCCCAGCGCCCTCAGGATGCCCCAAGCCTGTGTGACTCTCCACGCCCAGAGCAGGCTCCCAGGGCCCTCAGGAAGCCCTGAGCCTGTGTGACTCCCAGGCCTGGAGGGCAGAGCAGGCTCCCAGTGCCCTCACAGGAAGCCCTGAGCCTGTGTGACTCCCAGG